TTTGATGTGTTATTTTTTAGATACTTCAAATCAGATGTGTTTTCAAATGTGTGTTTTGAAAAGCACAACGTTCTGTTTTTATTTAAATGATCCAACCTTTTTAAGACATGAGGTTCTTTAAGACCATGACCTGTCTTGTACTCGGCGTCGGGGGTCATGTTTCATCCTGGAGGTTTGAGCTCGGTCTCCTCTGAAGGTCCAGATGGACAGTGGTCAGTCAGGCTGAGGCAGCTGGCCATCCACATGGACGATGACCTCGGTGAGACCGTTAAGGTTAACTAACTCTGACAAATCTAATGAACGAGGAGAGACAGGCGGAGGAGAAAGAATGGGCTTTTGGGGAAGGGGGTCAGGGTGAAGAGAAGGAACTGTCAAATGTCTCGGGTTAAATTATGAAGATAAGTGACCAAAGAGCAAACACACAAAGACAGGACAGAAGGGAGATGAAGGAGAATCAGGGAGGTATGAATAGTGACAATTTAAACAATAAAAATGATCACATTCCTGACTGACCGTTAATCAGAAACAGCATCCCAATCCCTTGTCTCTGTTTTCTGGGGCTTTTGCACAACATTCATGGAAATCATGAGTTGGAAAAATAATAAAAGGATGAGTGTGGTTTCCGTGTAACAGGAGCAGAAGAGCGGAGGATTCAAGAAGAATGCTGAAACATAAACATGCAATTAATCTGTGAATGATTAAAAAAACCAAGAGAAAGAGGACGTCTCACTCTGGCAGAGAAAATGATCGGACCAATTTTGAGGGTTAAATGAAGTTTTGGCTCGGTGATGAAGCACATGAATCTAGTTTAAGATTAAATATCACTTCCTAAAACCTGCGTTGAAGCTCAATCTAAAGCAAGAAACAGGATTTACTTTGGATTTAAACCCACACTGTGTATCGGGGTGAGGGGTTTGGAGTGTTTAAAAAGGTATTTGATATCAGCTGTGTTTCTTACAGTGTTTGGGGGATTTCCACAGAGCCACTGACTGGAAAAATGGGACTCAGATCAAACAGATGTGATTATGACTATTCTCCCAGAGAGCAGGAGCACCGCGGGAAAGGTTACAAATAAAAAGGAATCAAAGGGGATTTTTTACTGTTACAGCATCGACAAATCTCAGGGATTAGACCCCGAGAGGACCAGAAAGAGACTCTTTGTATGCAGCAAAGACAAATAATTCAATCCACATGCATCACAAAACTCTAAATCCATTAAAGAAAGAACAGGGGGTGCTAGGTAATGAAATTATGACGATTAGCAAATTAGACCAAATTTTACCAAATTTGCAGATGATGTTGCCGTTTTCCAACGAGGCAAAATTTTTAATTTGTAAATTTAATTTGTTTTTTTAGTTTTTATGGGGGTCAAAAAAGAAGATGGAGACAGAAAGTAATGTCAAACTCAAGGCTTCAAAATGTAAGTTCACAAAGCAACATGTGGAGAAACTTATCAAAATGACAGAGCTGCTATAAGTGAGCTGCTGCTGAAAGCTGCCGTCATGTTGCTGTTTGTGCTGCTGTGATAAAAAAACAAAATGAAAGTTATACTCGGAAACATTAGCTCATCTGTAAACATATTCTCTTCCTTAGGTCGGTGTGGGGGGAGTAGCAGAGAGAATCACTCCCATGATTCCCCGCCAGCCTCGACATTATCTTTTATTATTGTTCTGATTGAGAGCCCCCTGGTGGTGAGATTTACAAACTGAGCCTTTAATTGTCTCATTATTAGGATACAAAAGTGAAAACACACCAAGCTAAGATTGGAACCAGGGCTGTCTCGCGAAATGAACTTTTTTTAAAACAGTGATTAATCGCATGCTCTCGCTGAGGTTGTCTGCAATCCATCTCACCATGTAAGAGCGGGGATTGGATCATAACAGAAAATATTTTTGGGGGGCATTTTTGCCTTTATTTGATTGGACAGCTAAAATAATTTTGGGAGGAGAGAGAGGGGTATGACATTCATCCGAGGGCCAAGGTCAGATTCAAAACCAAGGCTACTATGAAGAAGACTAAAGCCTTCATACATTGGGTGTGCGCTTGGCTGTCCACCCCCCCAATGGAAAGTTAATTTAACAGAAGGTCTCAAATTAACATCCACTTAAAAAATCAAACCAATGAACACAGATTAACAGATGTTCCCTCAGCTCTGGTTTGTGGTCGCTGTAAGTGTGAAGTTACTCTCGAGAAGTTCTTCAAGTAAAACATCTGGAATAAATACATGAAGGAGGAGTCAGGTTCAGGCCTAAAGCGCAGCTAAGACGAAGAACAACAGAAAACTCCTCGGACTTAATCCCTTGAGCAGACGGCTTATTTTTCAGGGATCTCTGAACATCATTAGAAAACTTCTCCCTCACATGTTTAAGAAACCTGTTCAGGGTACTCTCTGATGTCACAGAGGGAATCACTCTCAGTCTTTAAGCGACCCCCTCAAGTTCAGTTTCAATGGGTTTGACTTGGGACGACCTGTGATGAAATACTTGATGACTCCTTTTGAAGTGGTTTACCCCTCACTTAAAATGTTTCCATGAATAAGTAAAGTAAAAAAAGAGCTGTCACTTAACAGGACGGGAACCGAGAGAGGGAGAAAAGCCCGTACATAATTGAGGGGGTTTTCACTCCCGAGTTCACGATCGAGGAGCTTAGTCAAGGTAATATTTTGGGAGGAGGTTTCAGAGGAGATTTGAGGGACTTCCTGCAGACAATTGCCTCATTCTTGATGAATTCAAAAACAGTCTAATACAAACTCCTGTGCCCATGGGTCTGTCTGCCTTTGACTTTCTTTTATTTCCACTCACAGGCACGAACACCGCCCACGCAGAGCACGAACCACAGAAAGCACAGGTAGAGCTTATTAAAAATGGATGAGGCTGTGAGAGTCCCTAAAAGCCGGAGAGAGGAGTGCCTGCTGGGGCGAGGTGGGCGGCAGGTGAAAGGGTGAACAGGCAGGTCAGTGGTACAGAAAATGAGAAAAGACAGAGAAGTTGGCCGCGAGCCACCCGTTCAGATCGGAGTCTGTTTTTTTTTATATAATCCCAAAGCTGTCGGGAGATTAGAAGAAATGTGACGCTGACGAGAGGGTACAGCCTTGTCGTGTTTGCATCCAGAAATGGCGCTCATGCTGAGTGACAGAGGCACACTAAAAAAACAAGCTCAGATTGAGCTGCCGAGTTTCAACCTGCAGTGCGTGAGAGAGAGAGAGAGAGAGAGAGAGAGAGAGAGACACAGACAGAGAGAGAGAGAGAGAGAGAGAGACAGAGAGAGAGACAGAGAGAGAGAGAGACACAGAGCGAGAGATAGAGAGAGAGAGACAGAGAGAGAGACAGAGAGAGAGAGAGACAGAGAGAGAGAGAGAGACACAGACAGAGAAAGATAGAGAGAGACACAGAGAGAGATAGAGAGAGAGAGAGAGACAGAGAGAGAGAGAGAGAGAGAGAGAGACACAGACAGAGAGAGATAGAGAGAGACGAGACAGAGAGAGAGAGAGAGAGAGAGACAGAGAGAGAGAGAGAGACACAGACAGAGAGAGATAGAAGAGAGAGAGAGAGAGAGAGACAGAGAGAGAGAGAGAGACAGACAGAGAGAGAGACAGAGAGAGAGAGAGACAGAGAGAGAGAGAGAGAGAGAGACAGACAGAGAGAGATAGACAGAGAGAGATAGAGAGAGAGAGAGAGAGAGAGAGAGAGAGAGAGAGACACAGACAGAGAGAGAGAGAGAGAGAGAGACAGAGAGACAGAGAGAGAGACACAGACAGAGAGAGAGAGAGAGACACAAAGATAGAGAGAGAGATAGAGAGAGAGAGAGAGAGAGAGAGACACAGACAGAGAGAGAGAGAGAGACACAAAGATAGAGAGAGAGAGAGAGAGAGAGAGAGAGAGAGAGAGAGAGAGAGAGAGAGAGAGAGAGAGCATGACTGCTGAGGCAGCTGGAGGGCTAAACTCACACAAGTCACCAGCCATGAAACACTGCTCAAAGCTACAGGAAGAGTCGAAATCAAACATTTCATATTGGTCTGAGTTCTCCTTGTTGTTGTAGTTTTTACCAAGAACTTCAACTTTCCCCATACCATGTTTGCATTTCATTTACAACCACTAAGAGTGAAGTATGTTCAATCAAACTTTAGACTGATATTTGAGATTTCCTACGCAGATCGTTTGGGTTTTATCCGTCCAGCTTTTAAGAGATCTGTCGCTTCAAATTCTCACTGGTAGGCTCCAGTTATAATGTACAATTTAAAGGCTTTATATGCGATTTTTTGATCCAGCAGATGTCGCCCTTGAGCACCAGCATGAAACCAAAACAACTAGAGCTGCATTGTTGTGTTAGCATGCTAATGCTAGCGATCTTTATTATGCTGGTATCTTCACACTGCATGTAAATTTACCTGAAATGAGCGTGATCTAGAAACACAGTTAAGCAGTGAGTACAGTATGTTATTCTTCTTTTCTCTAGTCCCTCAATTAAACAACTTTTATACACGAGGGGAGGAGTCAGCCGGCTGTCCTGGCGATGTAAACAAAGTGAAGATAGGACTCTGAAAACTCTGAAAACATCACAGACAGTGGGACTCGGGTGTTACACCCATTGTAGACAGTCATGACTCACAGAGTTATTTTCAGAGGAGATACTTGATTTCTACATTTAAGTGTGAAAAATCACATAAAGACTTTAATGAACATAAAATCATAAAAAGGTCGTTAGAAGCTTTTTGTGGATTTGGGTTTCCAGGGGCTTAAAAGCATGAACTTAAGTTACTTTAATCTTATGTCAAACAGTCACTATACTGTGTGCCATGCCTAGTTATTCACTCTTTCCACGACCACTCAGCGGTTTGCATTTATGATATAGCATCACAGGTCAACCATTCAGAACACCCAATATACAACATAAACACTATTAAACACTCCTTGGGGTTCAATCAGCATGAAAGAGGTCATCATGATTCCTCTGATATTCGTGTGTATTGTGGTGTGGTTTCATGGTGTTGCTCACTCTACCTTGAGCGGTGTAGACCAGCTCGCTGTAGACGCTTCCAGGGACGATGGGGGCTGGAAGGTCCTGCAGGAAACCCCTGAGAGCGTCGGTCAGAGAAACCACATCATACTGGTCCAGGTCTACAGAGAAGGGATCTGAGAGGACAACAGAGAAGAAAAAGAAAAGTATGACCCAGTTTGATCTAAATGTTCACAGTCAGTCATCAACAGACCTGGTGAAACAGGAAGGGAAGGGGCGGAGGAAGAGTTTTTAAAAATAAATTTGTGAGGCTTTTATTTTGTAATTTTTGTATTGTCTTAAGCTGAGAGTACTTTACTTCCTGTTTTAACCCTGCTTTTATTTTGAAATAAAGTAAGGCCCTTCTGTTATAGATGGAAGGTTAGGACAGGAAGTTAAGCACAGAAACAGGAAGTGGTTAGGGATCCAAAGTGAGTCAAATAGCTCAAAGGAACGGTAAGGTCAGTGTGTGATGTCATAAGGTCAATGTGTGATGTCATAAGGTCAATGTGTGATGTCATAAGGTGGATATGACTTTGGACTCGTCAGCTGAACTGTCTGAGAGTTTGTTAAAGTGAAATGAGACATTCAAAGATGCAGCAGTGTTCTTTTTTACATCACTGAGACTACAGGGAGACACTGAGGACCACTATCTACGGAGAGCCTGAAGGGACAAAATAGGATACTAGGTAATTCTCACAGCTCCTATTAGCTATTGTTCTTCTCCTTATTTTGCTACTTTATATTTTTAAATTACAAAGTGTACTACAGTGGTTCTCAACTGGTGGGTCAGGACCCAAAAGTGGGTCCCGGAGCCAGTTTCAGTTTGTCTCAAATCTTTGTGTCAAAAAGTCTCTAAAGCGCTTTTTAAACACGTTTGTTTTGTTCCCTCACTTTGTTCTGTCACACGTTTTGTACACTCTGAGGTCAAACTGCACCATTATTCATTTAATAAATCTGATTGGTTGAATTTATTTGGGTCCATATTTCCCGATAAGGAGTTGGTGGTGGGTCCTGAGGCTAGACCATTTGAGGACCACAGGGTTTAATACATCATTTGAATGAATTAAACTGGGGAACGAGGTCCAAAGTGCCTTCTTATTATGATAGTTACATACTGGAAGGTCAATACTGGGCTTCTGGTTTTGGTGCAAAGCTTTGTGAAGTGAAGGGTCGGGTCAGTGTTGATGGTCTTGCCCTGTGACGTCTAACGGTCAGTTGTTTGTGGAGGTGAAACTGTCACTCAGTCTCAGACGGATACAGACGCTGAGACGTCCAACAGAGAAGAAAATTCCAGGTCACCCCGTCAGTAGACAAAACAGATAGCAAGCGGCGTCGAGAGCGCTCCAGCAGATTAGAAAAGGACAAACCACACCGTGCCACAGGACGTTTCTTTCTGTCCTCCATCTTTGACCTTAACCTCCACTTGTCCTTCAACCTTCCTTCCTCCAGATTCTCGTCCTCCTTGACATTTATCTGGACTCTTCCTGCCTCAGCTCCACTTGCTTTTATTTATTTTATTTTCCCTCCACCCTTCATCCTCCACCCCCCCCTCCTCTCCATCATGTGCACCGGGCCCTCTGGAGTCCAAGCGGTTGTTAAATCTCATTGATTTGTGCCTCTAACTAATGCCTGAATAAACTTAACCAATCACCATAGGCTAGTAAACCTCCACACCATTAGTATCAATGGATGGCCTGTTCACGGAGCCCTGCTGAGGCTCGTCTTATCCTGTAGTGATTTGTCTGGGGGATTCGATCATCCCAACACCCGGGCACTGCAAATTTGGTGTTGCCATGGGACCCAGGTCTATGAAAAGATATTAATGCACTTTTTCATGTGTGCGTTCGTGTGTGTGGGTGGAGATGTATTGGAGCATTAAACCATTTTGATTCTTGCAGAGCAGATTGTAATTTGTTAATATGTGACTGATATTTCTTTATTAAATTGGGACTTGAGATTGTTTTAATAACAACATATGTGAGGGTGTACTATCAGTTTGCACTTTGCGGCATCAAAGATATTTCAATGCCGGCTAATTATAGTGACTGCTGTCGTTTTTTCACCGGGGGAAATAACTCTCAATCAGGATATTTTTTCTTTCCTACTTCGCTTCACAATTGTCTGACCAACTTTTTAAATCTCTAAAAAATGGGAAATGCCAATATGTTTAAACCCTGGCCCTTTATTTCTAACACATGTTGGACTCTGAATAACTAACTGCTGGGTAAAAGTTTGGGAATTTCTCCAAAACATTCATTCAGCTGGTGGCCATACATGTTACAGCTTATTGCGGTGAATGTAGACCGTTAAAAAAAGAAACCAAACACAGGAGGAAACCACTGTGCTGTGCTGTGGGGGAAATCCACTTCTCAAATCTAAGACATACATCTAGTTATTCTTTCACAGAAACACATCCCGCCCACCTGTCAATCATGTCCGCTACGTGTCTAACTATGGATAACACAAAATGTTCTTAAAGTGAAAACAGAGCCGTTTAAAAAAAAACCTCCCCGTACAGTGTGTGATGACGATAACTAATCACACCTATTTGTTTTTTGAGCCAGGCTGTAAACATGTTTATCTCTGCTGTAAAAACAGGCTTTTTTGAATGGGTGTGTATGTGACTTCCTGTGCTTTTGCAGCCAGCCTCTAGTGGACACTCGAGGAACTGCAGGATTTTACACCTCTGCATTGAGAGGTGTAAAATCAGATTTGAATCCAGGCTGCATGCTTGTAGATCTGTAGCCTCCATACATGGGGCGCGCACACTAACCGTTAGGCCACCGGTGCCTCAACAACAGTACCAGTAACTGAATCATGTAATCAGCTTGTGATTGTAGTGATCCATAAGTTTCCTCTCCCAGGCTCAGTCCCTCTCTCTGTAAAATCCAAAAAGTCAGGTGAAGAGATAAGTGTGGTCACCGCCATCACCACCAACGTTCCAGTGAACACAGCCACCAACATTTACAAGACCGTCAACAATAAACAAAGACGTAAACAATCTATAAAAAGAAGTAACAATTAACTTACATCCATGGCTGCAACGTCAACTAGAAGTGCTTATTGTTTCCCCTGACAGGCTCAGACTAGTACTTAAAGGTTCTGACAGCTTTACAGAAAGGATCCGCGCAGAGATTGACATCTTTGTTTGAGTAAGATTACATTTTCTAAACAGAAGAGGAGTGACATCACTTTTTCTTTTCAAAGTTATGAAACTCTTTTTGACAAAAAACTGGAATAAACTGCCGGCTGAAAGTAGATGAACATGATCCCTGTGGTTTCATCACCACAAGCAACACTTGGAACTGAACATGTTGGCTGTTGTGTTGATGCTAACAGGCTAACGTGTAAAAGTGGGGGGGGGGGACATATTGACAGGAAGGAAATATAATCATTGTCAATGACCAATGCAGAAGCATTTTGATCTGGTGATATCTAAAGTCCCCCGTTAAAGGATGAACCTGTAAGATGTGTAGTGAGTGAAATGATAAAGGTATCTTACTATCTGATCAGACATTAAGGAAACATGCTATGTTGAAGTGTTGGCTTCTCTGACAACAATGCAGCAGCCAGTATGTCCTCCTTCTAACTTTAGATTCTGCTCCTGAATGCTCTGGATTTGTTTGGACCAGAGAAGGTAGGCGCTTTTAAGGCGACCCCTCCCCACACGGCCGTTTTGGACGCCCCTCGGTTTGTCAGATATGAGAGCAGTTATCAGGTCAACAGGTGTTGCAGCGATGGAAGCGGTCAAGAGAAGTGGTTCAGATAGAAGTGATTGTACCCGACCTAAAAAGCCTCTGCATGTTTCTAATAAGCTCCACGAGCAGAAACGTGCTCAAACTAGGATCAATATTGGAGATGCTTTTGAAAAATGGAGAGAGGTTAGAACACAGAAAGGTTTACAGACCCATGCAGAGCTGGATAAACACTGAAGCTTCAGAGTCCACCACATGGTGACCTGAGTGAGCATCCACTCTAGAGAGGAGGGGGGGAGACAGCTCTTTACAATGTTTAGAATTCAGACTGCAGTACCCATTTTAAACATTAGGCGTCAGAGTTACATACTGCTCCTTTAAAAAGTTAGTATTCTATTATAAATCTCCTTTTCTTCAGGATTGTGTCTTCCTGTTTGGTTACAGTTTTATACGATAAATTATTATTCTTTTTTGTACTTATGAGCAGACAGATCTGGGTTACACAGACCAACATCTTTCTGCTGGTTTCTGGTTTCAGACTCTGAATTTCACGCTGTCTAATACAAACAAACAGCTGCTGTTGGTTGACACGAAACAGCTGTCTGTGTGTTTTCCATCAGGAACAAAAGTCAGTCTTGACATTCTGTAAAAAAATAAAAAAAGGACCTATGGTCAATTTGTCTTGAGTCATATTAATTTTACACCCAGATTGTGTTTGTGTGGTTATTCGCAGCGTTACATAATGAACCGTGCGACTTCAAAGAAATCATGTGAATTCAGAACAATCGTCCCATTTAGCTGTTAGCGTGGGAAACACACACAGACATGTCTCTGCAAAAAAGTGACCTACACAAGCAGCTTGTGTCACTGCTGCCTCCGTCCACGCTTTGAAGTCTGAGCTAACTCATGACCAGCCAACACATTGTCTGGACCCACACATACCATATCTGATTGACTGAGAACACTGACTCAGAGGCGCTTTGCTACTCCACTTACAAGCTAACTCATGACCAGCCAACACATTGTCTGGACCCACACATACCATATCTGATTGACTGAGAACACTGACTCAGAGGCGCTTTGCTACTCCACTTACAAGCAAACTCGTTGTAGTTTGATTTCGGCGAGGTTTTATACGTTTGACATGCAGCAGAGGCCGTCACTTGGGTCTCACACTGACAAACAAACTGCTGACCTCTCTGCTTTGTGAAGTGTGGGGGGGTCATGTCATGCGTGACACTCGCTGCCCGACACTCGCTGCCCGGACGTCACACCTGACACGTTGTTGAAACACAACGATGGCGATACGGTCTGCCACGATGTGCTGATCTGTGGGAACTTCTCTGAATGTGTTAAAACGTTTTGCTTCTCTGAAAGGTCAACACTTCATGACACATGTCACAACTGTGCCGTGCTGCCCTTAACAATATGTGGCGTGCCGCGCTGAGACGTGCTGGGGCTGTGCCATAAGGCTGTCAACAAAGAGAGCGGACGAGGAAACGAGGCAGCACAGGCCGAAACGTTTTGCTTCTCTGAAAGGTCAACACTTCATGACACATGTCACAACTGTGCCGTGCTGCCCTTAACAATATGTGGCGTGCCGCGCTGAGACGTGCTGGGGCTGTGCCATAAGGCTGTCAACAAAGAGAGCGGACGAGGAAACGAGGCAGCACAGGCCGCATGCAGATTCAAGTGAACACTTTAAAGTTTACCCAGAGGAGCTGTGTGCCCTGAGTTTTTCTCTCATTGAACATTAAACATGGTGTTCTTACTCCTTGGCTCTAGCCTTGAGTCTCATTTACTAAAGAAAACAAACACAATGGTTTAGAGAAGCTACTTTAGCTCAACCATGAAACGTGCTGTAAAGGTTTCAGCATTCACCCGGCTGAGAAACGAAACAAGAGTTAAATGTAGAGTGCAGAAAATCAGCTCTGATCGTGAAGAAACCAACATGTAACTGTGAAAGAAGTGCTGGCTTCTCTGACAACAATGCAGCAGCCAGTATGTCTTCTTCTAACTTTAGATTCTGCTCCTGAATGCTCTGGATTTGTTTGGACCAGAGAAGGTAGGCGCTTTTAAGGCGACCCTTCCCCACACGGCCGTTTTGGGCACGCCCCTCGGTTTCCCAGATATGAGAGCAGTTATCAGGTCAAGGTGTTGCAGCGATGGAAGCGGCAAGAGAAGTGGTTCAGATAGAAGTGATTGTACCGACCTAAAAGCTCTGCATGTTTCTAATAGCTCCACGAGCAGAAACGTGCTCAAACTAGGATCAATATTGGAGATGCTTTTGAAAAATGGAGAGAGGTTAGAACACAGAAAGGTTTACAGACCCATGCAGAGCTGGATAAACACTGAAGCTTCAGAGTCCACCACATGGTGACCTGAGTGAGCATCCACTCTAGAGAGGAGGGGGGGGGGAGACAGCTCTCTATGATGTTTAGAGACTGCAGTACCCATTTTGAGTTACTTACTGCTCCTTTAATGTTATGTTTACATGTGTGGACCTCAGGAGGAGGCTGCGGGTGGAGTCTCATCAGAGAGTAGCTTTAATGAAACCTCATGAAACAGAGACGTTCTCCGGGGCCACGGCCAAAAGAGAATCATTAAACCATGAACGAGAAAAGATCTCCCCAGATCCTGCTTCACTCGCTCCTTCTCTGTCTCTCTATCCAAAGTCTCCATCGCTCCTTCGCTGTAGACTTTGTAAGA